TGAACCGCAAGTTCAAGGACTCCCAACTGGTACTTCACGGCCATCGTTAGAGCCAGCGCACAGCATGCAACGGGAAATGTGGCAATCCTTGCATTCACAAACATCTCCAGTTACACAGAGCTTTGTTTTTAAACAGCAGGTTATTTCCCATTACTTCAAACGACCACAAACCATCCCTACCTCTGAAGCGAGGAGCAACACAGCAAGGCTTCCAGGGTCTTCAGTTCCTGTGGCTTTCCTCAAGTTTGGCCTCTCCGCAAACAGCTGGTGTCACAGAGCAGCAGCCCCACAGGGTACTGCGGTGGCAGGGGGAGAGGCAGAGGGGGCCAAGCCAGCTTCGCAGTCAGAGGACACGTACCGGGTGTCAGGGCAGCCCCCTCCACGTCCCGCTTCCAGCGTGGGCTGCAAGATGGTTTCCTGAAGTTCGAGAGGAGCAAGCGAAAGACGGTTTTATCGCCTGCACTCTGCTAACCTGGGGCTCAGCAATGCAGACGATGAGCAAGATCAGGCAACAGATTAAACCTTCCGCCACCAGCACCTTTAACTTACCAGGAGCTGCAGCTTCCCTGTCAGCCCAGGTGGTCTTTGCGTTTCCCTTCTGTTAATGCTAAGACTACGCAGTCCTCTCACTTTGCAGGAGCATCTGAAAAAGCCAGAAAGCAGCAGGTAGGCCTCCCTTGCCGAGCTCTTTGATCACTAGACTCTAGAGCAAGAGGCCGGCAGCTCTGATGCCAGCAGCTCCCCGCTTCGTAGCCAAGTGCTAAATACCCAGCTCAGAGCACTAACGGCGGCTTCGCCCACAGCTTGCAGGTTGCGAGGCAGCTCATGGATGCAGCACGCGACCTGAGGAATTGCATGTCTACTGCAGGCAGCTTTGTGCGGCAGGTTGAAAACCACGTTGCGGAGGTAGGGTGGGAGCAGAGAGCAGAGCAGCTCTGGCAGAAGGCCACCCAACTCCTCCTTCCTCACAGTCCCGAGGTGCAGAGACCGAGATCTAAAGCCCTGTGGAAAACCCGTCAGAGCGGGCCAGGGCTGCGGCAGGACTCTGCAGCCACGCGCAGAGGCTGCAGGCAGGGTCTCTGCTGGGGCTCCAGCTGTGCCAGACCTGCTCCAGCGGGAAGGGCTGATCCTCACTCGCTTCCTCATCCTTCTCTGCTCACGCTCTTCTTCCAGGCAGAGGAGAAGCACCTCCTGTTTGCAGGATGCAATCCCAGGTGAGACCCAAAGTGAAACTCCATTCTCATCCTCTTGGCTCTGCAGGGCAGGAAGGAGACCGTTTCCTGCGTGCACACCTCACTTGAAAGCTTCACCCATACCTCCAGCTGCCTCCGCAGACCTGTGCTTCCCTCTCCCCACGCCTGGCTGCTCTTCCTCTTTCCCCTGGCCCTTCAGCCATGGCTGTCCCCACTAGCCCTGCGTTCCCCCGCAGCCCCCGACGGTCCCGGCCGCACAGGCAGGCGTTCCTGCTGGCAGGGCAGCAGCCCTGCTCCCCCTGGCACCTCAGAGGGCCAGGAGGGCAGCAAGACCTCCCGCGTGGGCAGACGGCTCCCAGGGGAGACAAAATCGCAGCCCAGTTAACGCCTGGGCACACCAGTGCCTCCACACCACGCAGAGCCCTAGACAGCTGGGCCGGCTTCTCAGCAGACCCCTCGCGGGGAACCTCTGCCGCGGCGCCCGCCGCTGCTGGGCACCTTCCGGATGACCGACACACGGCCCTCCCTGATGCACGGGTCCAGCGCACGACGCATGTCCGAGATTTCTATAGCCTCCCTCCGAAGGGAGCAGAGAGAGGCCTCAAACCATCTCAGGGCTGCTCTGGCAAGCACTACAGGAATGAACAGGGTCACCTCAGACCCGGCCACGCTGGAAGGCTTGCGGCAAAGAACAGAGGCTGCCAGACTCCAGAGCGCTGCGGGCATTCGACCCGTCGGAGTGCCTGTGAGCCGGCGCGATGAAGAGCCGTGGCCGGGCTGCCCAGGCGTGGCCGGCGGGCCCCC